CTAAGGATATGGTTAGTTTCAAGTTAATGCATTTAAATGGGTGATTGAGGTTGCTGAAGTGATAAAGAATGCTAAAGATTCAAATTCATTGGATTTTAACAAAATGTGAATAATTATAAAATCACTTAAAGAGAGTGTACTAAAGATGACCGTAGTTTCAATTTAGGCTTTTTTGGAGTTATAGAGACTGCTGAAAAAACAATCATGAAGTTTTGACAAAAAAAAAATTAATAGGATTGCCAATACGATAACTGTCCACCATATGCCACATGGCAATAAATTGAACAAAAACAACCATACGAGGAACTTATAGAAAGGGTAATTTATAGACTCAAAGATGCTGGATTCTTACAAAAGACAAAATGTATGAAAGTAACTTAAAAGGCCGTACTAAAGAAACACAGTTTCAAATGATACAGACTGCCAAAACCAACCATGTTTATTTTATGATATAAAAATCAGGCAACTGGACTTGGATTGCCGAATTGAGAACTATTCACCGTATGCCAAAGGACACGAAATTGACTATAGACTACCAAATGGAACACGAGAAATGTAATAACGTTTGGATTAAGCAAAAGCTGGATTCTACCAAAAGACAAATATGTTCAGAACTACACATAAAGGTTGTATTTTAGAACTATGTAGTTTTGAATTAAGACATTTTCGATATGATAGAGAATGCTAGAAAATAATTCATTAAATCAGGTTAGAAAGTGAGGAAATGTAGTACGATTGCAATTTAGAAACCTCGAACAACTTAAGGAAAAACTTCTTTCTGCAGTTATGTTTCTATCAATCTATGTTCTCTCGTTCGAATTTAAGTTTTATCAGACTTGAACGGTTCTTTATAAAGTTCTCCAACATCTAGATAATCATTTCCCTTATATATATGAACAATGAAAATTATGTCAAGCTCAAAGGAACAGTCAGGCTGACAGCAACAACTTATTCTATCTAATCATTATATCCATAGATTATAGTTGACCTCTTATTCATATTATCTAACAGACCTAATCATGATTCATGAAAACGTAATATTGAGCAGCAATGAACCATGAAAATAGGGCCAAGGTAATGGTGAACTCTGTCAGAAGAATATGTACACCTTACAATCATTATATCCAGCTAATAAAGTTTATCTTCTGAAAAACTGACCTACTGTGTGGTCTCAGGTGGGTAGCTGTTTCATTGGCAAGGAAACCAGATTTTGTAATTTTTATACTAATCAGAAAAACTTCATGGTGATCAATGAACCATGAAAACGAGGTCAGATATATCCAATCAGACAGACATGTACAGCTAACAAACAGTATATATATCAACTACAGTCGACCAATTGCTTTGAGCATCTGAGTAACCGACCTTATCATGAAATTTATGCTGATCACAGAATAAGGAAAAGAGGTCAAGGACAAAGAACATTTGCCAGAAAAAAAAACATCATCCAGCTCTTTTAGCTTCTAAAATTTGCATTCATTGCAGGTGAGACAAAACAGACAGGTCAACAGTTGTATACAACTCAATGAAAAAACATCATACACCATTCAAAAACCTTCAACACACTTATCATTTGTCTACAGTTTTAACAGTTTAAAATAATAAACTGGTCATCCAGTTTACAAAAACTTACTGCTTTTACATCAACTTTTGACCTAATTACGTACAAATCATAAGAGGTCATTGGGATCTCATTATCAAATCAAGTTTGGTAAATGTTGTATAAATGGATTTAGTCATTCACTAACTGTTGCAATCTTGACTTTTGACCTGTTGATCCCAAATTTTGATAGGGTTCTTCCTTGCTACAAGGAGTATTTATCAGGCAAAGTTTGGTAAAGTATTTCCTCGTGGCTCAAAAATACAGGGTTCTTCAATACAAGCCATTCTTTTGGAATTAATATACAAGAAGAATATGTCCCCATAGGACACCATGCCTCACTCTCAATATATATATTTCCATATTAAGTGAACCGTATTAAACAGTTTACATAATAAAGAACATGAAGTTGATGTGACCACAAACTAAATCTATCATATTTCCATGTTCTTTGAACTGTGAAATTTGGTTCAAAACACTTTAGCATAAATATAATACAGTTCTCTTCATAATGAACATGTATACTAATTTTCAAGTTGAAAGTGATGTGACTATAATCTATCATTAACCAATACTTTAACCTACCTCAAAACTACCAGACAGACTAGTGGAAGATGGACACACAGACAAAAAAATATGATACCCCTCTACTATCATAGATAAGGCACATAATTAATTAAAGATACCATGTCGAGAAATTTCAAGCTTTCATTCAAAGTTTAGTAAACATACAATATAAAGAAAATCAGTGAACCATAACATATTTTTCATGGTGCAACTGGTTTTTTTCAATACAGGTGAACATACTAAAAAGAAATATATTTCAACTAACTTTATTTGGTGCACTTTTATTATAAAGATAGAATGACATTAAAATATACAGATGATCCATATGTTAAGTATATATAAATGAGGAATAAATTATAAGTCCTTAAAATTCTTAAGAATTTATTCTAATATGCAGGAATGAGTATCTTCTTATGCTCTTATTTCTCCGTAATAGGAAACGATGTAGCCTAAGGCTGTTTTACATGCCCAGTTAGGTGTACAGACTATGTTAATGCGCAGTCAAATGTACAGACTATTTTACATGCCCAGTCAGATGTACAGACTATTTCAGAATTCCAATTGTACAATACATGTATATAAATCATGTGATGTCAGAACTAAAATTTATTGAGTGGTCAGATTTAAAAGAATTTTTTCCTGAAGATAACTTAACTAGAGGCTCTCAAGAGCCTGTGTCGCTCACCTGTATTTACTGATGCTTTGGAAATCATGTAAAATAAGGTTAAAATCATAATTAATAGTATTAGATATTAGATATTATAATGATATCTAAGATAATAACAAAAAACTGCAAAATTGTTGTAAAATTACTAACTCAGGGGCAGCAACCCAACAACGGGTTGTCGGATTCGTCTAAAAATTTTCAGGGCAGATAAATCTAAATCTGATGAACATTTTTGCCACCTGTCAGATTTACTCTAAATGCTTTAGTTTCAGAGATATAAACCAAAAACTGCATTTTACCCCTATGTTCTATTTTTAACCAAGTCGGCCATGATGGTTGGAAGGCGGGGTCATAAGACACATTTTTCAAACTAGATACCCTAATAATGATTATGGCCAAGTATGGTTAAATTTGTCTCAGTAGTTTCAGAGAAGAAGATTTTTGTAAAAGATTACAAAAATTTACAAAAAATTGTTAAAAATTGACTATTAAGGGCAATAGCTCCTAAAGGGGTCGACTGACAATTTTGGTCATGACAACTTATTTGTAGATCTTACTTTGCTGAACATTATTGCTGTTTACAGTTTATCTCTATCTATAATAATATTCAAGATAATAACCAAAAACTGCAAAATTTCCTTAAAATTACCAATTCAGGGGCAGCAACCCAACAACAGGTTGTAAGATTTGTATGAAAATTTCAGGGCAGATAGATCTTGACCTGATAATCAGTTTTACCCTATGTCAGATTTACTCTAAATGCTTTGGTTTCAGAGATATACATTTTACCCCTATGTTCTATTTTTAGCCATGGCGGCCATCTTGGTTGGTTGGCGGGGTCATCGGACATATTTTTTTAACTAGATACCCTAATGATGATTGTGGCCAAGTTTGGTTAAATTTGGCCCAGTGGTTTCAGAGGAGAAGATTTTTGTAAAAAGCTAACGACGACGACGGATGACGGACGACGGACCCCAGGTGAGCTAATAAAAAATATATTTGCTTAAATATTGCAAATCTCTCTTAAGAGGTCATTTTAATAATGTAACAGTTAACTTACAAAGGGCTATTGCAATTATTTAAATGCCTGTAGTTATTAGGTCTTACATGACATCATTTAGAAATGGTGTAAAGAAGTGAAATTTTCACTTCTGTAGTTATTAGGTCTTACATGACATCATTTAGAAATGGTATAAAGAAGTGAAATTTTCATTTAGAAATGGTGTAAAGTGAATTTTTCACTTCTTTACAAATGGACCAAATCAATAAACTGAATGGGATATTGGAACCATGAATATTAGTTAAAGGTCAGATAGCCCATGTCAGACAGACATGTGTGCATGGTAATGATAACTCAATAAACATAATATAGCTGACACATCACTTATGCTAATTGACAAACTAATCCAATCATTAAACTTTACATTGACCAATTAACCATGAAAATGAGGTCAAGGTCAAATGAACCCTGATAAATGGACGTAAACACCTTACAATGTTTCTAAAGACCAAAATAAAGAAAACTATCAAACACTTAAAGGAACTGTCCTAAGCATAATGACATATAATCATACATCCAGGAAAATCAGGTGATTGTTGTAATTTTATGTAATTCTGTAATGATATTGTTGACCTACTAGTTATAAAAAATCACAAAAACAAAACACTAGTTTTAATAAATCACTGAACCACAATCATGAGGTCAAGGACAAATGATATATCCAAGTGAGAAATTAAGACCACATCATACAAAATTTGGCTTGTCTAAATCTAATTTATTGAAATATTAGGCTTTATACAAATAGTTAACACTGTTACCAATAGATGACCATATATATGTTGGGACTTAGCATCAGATGATGATGATGAATGGCTCTTTATGTCCAGTGGCAAATTAAATGCATATTCAAGATGAGAACATGTTAATGCAATATGAATATGAACCCTGCTCACTACTAGACTGTTACACTGAACTGGATGTTTAATGTGCTAGTTAATAAGGTAACAGTTTGTAGGAAGACTTGTCACCCTACCCAGACACATTAGTACGAGTCCGGGCCTACCATTCTTTTCGCTTATTTATAAATGACACCTGCTTTGTGAAGAAGCAGCAAATACCATTTTTTAAGTCCTTGGTTTGACCTGGCCGGGGACTCTCTCAAACAATAAAAAGATTAAATTCTGTATTTCATTACAACATGAAATCTAACAGTAATTGTCACATTATAGTTAAGCGGCAACAACAAAAACATTCATTCCTCTATCAAAATTAACAATAAAAACAAACAATTCTTTGTTTACCGCTTAGGTCTTTTAGATCAATCAAAAAATGCTCTGTAGTGCATCCGGTCACACAGATATTTGAAGTATAACTTCAAAACATGTTATTTGTAAGCTCAGCTATATCACACACAAACAGACAGACTTAACACACTAAAAAAAGTTAAAACCCAGTAACTTTATCAAACAGGTATAGTAATCAAAATTTTAAAAACACATACAAACACCACAAGTCTTCTTCGATACTTTTTTGTTAATACTGTAACAAAGAACACCAGTAATTTGATCTTAGCTCTAACAAAAGGAATTCATACTTTGTTCACTGACAGATGCTGTTAGAACAAAGACTTTGCAAAAATTTAGCACTATTTTTAAAAATCAAAAGGAAAATGTTACAATATAAGTGACTGCAAAACAGTATTGTTTGACTGTATTTGATTTTTATTGTTTGTCATACATCCAAAGGCAAATTAAATCAAGCATATCCAGGTGTCAAGTTAATCGAAATTGGTAATGAAAGATTTTTACATCTGAGTAAAGATTTTTATCAACATTTTAAAAAATAATTCTTGGTTTGCTACAGGCAACAACAAATTAAATAAGGAGATACAACATTTACACTTTGCATTTACTAAAAGTTTATATATATATATTTGATATGTAAAAAGTTTACTGTAATGCAGACAATATTTTTGTCATCTTTAGGGCTTCTCATATATAATCAAACTAAATGAATAAGTCACAAAATAAAGATATATATATACAGTTATAAATACATATATTTGTAAATATCATGTATTTTGGCCCTTTGTCCTTTACATAAGAAAAGGACTGGCAATTTTGAAAATTGTCTATATAAAACGAATCCTTTCCTATTTGTCAAATATGACTGCAAGATAATAAGGAAAGTAGAAGTAAACAATCAAAAACAAAAACATCAATATACAGTGCATCTCATAACTTGGGTTATATCTAAACTCTGATTTTCTATATATAAATCAAATATCATTAATTTATTCCCAATATAATCAATTCTCAAAATATATTTCACTTCCTATGCCCTTTTGCATGATCCTTTATTTTTAATTCATTTCAAAAACTGTCTTTCTTTAGGACTAATCTAATATCAAAATTACTAACAATTCATCTGCTACTAATACAATTTCCTGATATAAATTAGAATTCATTTATTTTTATGTACAAAATGTTCTAGAAAAAAAACCCTGTTTTACCCCATAATATTTGAGATAAATATTGAAATACACAATGTACATAATTATGGGCCTATTACAGACAAGTCAGTAGTGCCTGTACAAAGACTAATATTTTTTATGATCTACTGATAAAAAAATTTATAAAGAAAAAAGTAGAATCAGAGTTGATGTAAAGTTTTAAAAAAAATCCATATAATAAAAAAAAAGAAGAAAGCTTGTATAAAAAAGTATGTACCCCAATATGATTTTTATAATAGAGATGAAATTATATAAACAAAAAAATATACATAACAGAACTCACTAATGAAAGACACAAAGTTAAATACACAAAACTTTGCTCTATTTTTTCAAACACCAAATTACTGTTTCATGTGCATTTACTATTGTGAGTGTTGGTCAGTGAACAAAAAGGGTTAAGTATTGCCTTTTCATGAAATGTGACCTACAAATAATGCTAGCAAAATTTTAAATGGATTTCATTTATACAAAAACTGTCCCCTCGCAATCATAAAAACATTACAAAAAAAATCTGAATGTACAGTACTTCTATAGTATTGCTATTGTCTTTCTATATTTTGTGTCTATTTGAATGAATCTAAAACAAAACTGTTGTTTTTGTTCAATGATTTAATTCAGTGGCTGACAAATTTTTAAAATGAGATGTGCCTGATGTGCTTGAAAAACTGAGAAACAACCACATATCAAAGAAACAATGCTTTTATTGTTGTGCTTCATCTTACTGTTTAAAAATAACAATTTTGATTAATTTGTCTTTGGTTGCAAAACACAATTTTTTTTATCCATCTTGGATGCTTGATTTTGCGATTGTAGTCAGAAGAGAAAAGAAGACCCATGTACTTATACTATATCTGTCAGCAGCTGGAAGACAAATCTGGATTTTGATCTATTGTGAATAAAGTTGGTTTTTGTATCGTCAACTAATTATTATGAAAGTATCAAATTATTTCTAAGGGACACTGATCCATTTTAAAAATCACCTAATAGAACATTCACCAAAAACCCATAAGGTAAATTTTACAAATATTAGTAACATCAATTACTGACAGTGCATGTATTAGTGAGATCAGTAAACACAAAATCTTGTTGAGAAATTACCATCCCTGTAATAACATCTTCAAGATGTATAGTTCGAGAAATATAGACCAACCCCTCTCAATGACTAGTATTCATTAACAGTTTCTATAGTTAAAATGCTATATGATTTAAATGCTCCTAATCATCAAATTCATCATTTGTCTTTCTTGTTTTCATTAATATCCTCCCCTGCATGGTTTTGGTCATCACATATTACTTCTACTGCACATCGTCTAGGAAACCATCCTCTGTATCGCTTCTTAGTACTACCTGCAATTCATACAAAATATTCAATTAAAAGGCAGAAACTAAATTACATGCAAAGTTTATCATGTAATTGTTGTTGCTTATCAACTTTATATTAGATCTTAAGAAATGACAAGAGAAATAGGTGAATAACAGCCATCATATATGCTGTTCCAATAAAATAAACTCTTAACAGAGATATTCTCCATGGAAATGAGATATGCCAATGCTTATACAACTGCATACCAAATAGCATTGACCTACCACTAGTGGTTCCCCATAAACTGACCTAATCACAAACTAATACATGTAAACTAAGCAAAGTTTCAAAGTCAATAGACCTTGACTGAGGGGGTGGGGCCAAATAATCTCCATACTAATGAGATGTGCCAATGCTAATACATCTGCATACCAAATATCATTGATCTACCACTAGTGGTTCACCATAAACTAGACCTAATCACAAACTAATACATTTTTGACGCCGCCGTCACCGCTGCCACCAACACCAGAAACAGCATACCTTTGTCTCGGTTTTTGACTCCGTCAAGGGGAGACAAAAACCAATATTTGATATTATTGACACCCACAACAGATTTATAGATTTGTTAAAGCATCCATATATGTTATCTTACCTTCTTTCATTTCTTCTTCTCTTTTTAATCTTGTGCCATATAACCAGTGTCTACACATAAATGAATTTGAGATTAAGTTATGAATAAGAAATTTTTACCTGAAACAATAAGGTATATACTAGCATATCTGCTGAAGACTTTTGGCAAATAAAATTGTACTGCTTTTCTACTGATGGTATATATTTAATGTTTACCACAACAAATTAATTAAATCTTTAAAGAGGCTGTAGCCAATTATGAAATGCATACAACCAAACAAGGCCGTAAGTTGACCTATAGTTGCTAACATCTACGTCATTTGGTCTCTGTTGGATAGTTGTCTCTTGGCTATCATACCACATCTCCTCATTTTATAATGAAGAGGAAATACCAATTTATTGATAGGGACATAGATTGTCTAAAAGGTTGCTATTAAATGACAAATCTTTGAAAGAATATGTTTGTTGATGTACAAATGTACTCTGTATTTTATTATTGAAAGTTATGTTAATTTTTTATCTGTTTGCAATCCCAGTGACAGATCTAATAAACAGCAAATATTAAGAGAAACATATAGTGAGTTTAAGTTTTTTGTATGGTTTTATTACCTTTTCCACCTTGTAACTAATACTTTATCTCCCTTTGTGACTGGTATCCTAGGTTCATCTGTACACGGAAACCTAATGCACACTCTACAACCTTTAGTTATGGGAAACCAGGCACCTGAATAGTCTTCCATTATACTATATTCAAAGGTCCTCTCCCTTTTTTGAGCTTTCTGTTGTATCTGCTCAATCTGTAAAATATTGTAAATAAATGGGGAATGTGTCCATGGGACACAAATGATGCCCCCGCTTGCATATCATATAAAGTGATAAAGGGACATAACTGAAGAACGGTAAAAGTGACACTTCCCAAATTTGTACTTGATCTGAGTTTTGTGGTAATAAGTATTGTGTATAAGTTTCGTAACATTTGATTGATGCAAACTTAAGTTAGAGAACAGAAACGAATAAATACAGCAATTTTTCCGTTTGTAAAGGGGCATAACTCTAGAACAGTAAAAGTGACACCACCAAAATTCAAACTTGATCTGTGTTTTGTGGTAATAAGCATTGTGTATAAGTTTCATAACATTTGGTTGAGTCAAACCAAAGAACGGAAACCAACTTTGGGACTTAAGTACGTACGTACAGACAGACAAGGGTAAAACTAAATGCCCCCTCCCCTACAGCGGGGGCATAAAAAACACAGAGATATGTCTCGCCTATTTGTTATTTTGATAATGCAAATGTTGAAATCAAATTAGCAATACTTTAACATGTAAGTTATGCAAATCTTCAAAGTCAATGAACCATGACTGAAGGTGCATGGCTAAACAATCTCCATGGAAATGAGATGTGCCAATGCTAATACAACTGCTATCAAATACCATTGACTTATCATAAGTCGTTCCCTTTAAACAAACCTTAACAAACATTAACTTGTAAACTATGTAAAAGTTTTAAAGTCAATGAACCATGATGAGGGGGTGGGGCTATATAATCTCCATGGAAATGTGACTTGCAAATGCCAATACATTCGCATAACAAATATCATTGACTTATCATAAGTGGTCCATCTTTAACTGATCTAATAACAAACTAATACAGGTAAACTAAGCAAAAGTTTCAAAGTCAATAGACCATGACTGAGGGGTAAGGACCAAATATTCACCATGGAAATGAGATGTGCTAATACTTATACAACTGCATACCAATTATCATTGGCCTACCACTAATGGTTCACCAAAAACTAGACCTAATCACAAACTAACACATGTAAACTATGCAAAAGTTTCAAAGTCAATAGACCATGACTGAGGGGGCAGGGCCGAATAATCTCCATGGAAATGAGATGTGCCAATGATATTACAACTGCATACCAAATACCATTGACACACCACTAGTGGTTCACCATAAACTAGACCTAATCACAAACTAATACATTGTGATGCCACCTCCGCCGCCAGAAACAGCACCTATGTCTCGCTTTTTGACTCCGTCAAGGCCGGACAAAAAATGATTGCTACTTAAGTATTGCTTGCTTCTTTTTGTAATTTCATTGGGGTGTAAAAGCATTCACTGAAGCACTACTAAAAATATGCATACATTCAACGCTTTTACAACCCTATAAAATTACAAAAAGAAGCATTCAATTCTTATCTGAACATTTTATGCTATAACCATGGAACTATACCATTTAAATTAAGCCTTTCTTTTGTTTTTCTATCCACTGTTTTAACATCTTTACAGAGATACCATGCAATCAAAGAGATGTTGCAATTTATTGGGATATAAAATATAACTTGGAATGCATTGGCCAATCAAAATTAAGTAATGATATGAAATGTCTGTGATTGCTGCTGCCAGTTTAAAAGTGTAATAATGACTAAGTCCTAGGCTTGAAAAAATTCAATGCCTCTACATAATGGCAAATTTTTTTGAAAAATCTTTTTAAACATTCATCAATTATACAATCATATTCTCTTTGACTTGTTACAGGCTTTTTCTAAATGCTTTGAATTTGGTTTTATCACCTGCTAAAAATATTACCTGTATGACAGTCCTTTCCAGTTGCTTAGTAGTTATAAAGTAATATGACAACCTCTTTCAACGTTGTACTTACAGTAAGAGTAAACTGATTACATTCCTCCCTGACATTCCAGACAACACCATCAGACTTAGGATACCCTGTCCATGTAAATACTTCAGCTAGATTAGCCTTCCAGCCTAAGTTATAGGGGTATACAAATTCTTCATCATCATCTCTATCTCTATCTAATGCCTAAAATTTAAAATAATCAAACACATTTTCATTTATTTTATATTTAGAAGTAAATACACGTAAGTTTTAAGTAAAATCAATTGAAATCGTTCTGTATCAAGCATCTGTGATGATATCAATATCAGTCAGGGTTGTACAGGCTTGATCTAACTCCAGCAGAAAAAAACACCTTTATTAAATAAATAATAAAATGTATATGATACTGTATGGCTTTTTCAATCTCATACACAACCAATATAATCCATCAAGCATATGTCTCTGTATTATATATTTGCATTTCAGGTGGATGTGATATTGAAAAAGCCATATAATTTTCTCCATATATTCAATGTACCAACTTATATTCTAATTGCATGATAAAATCTTTACTTCCATCATCACGCACAGTGCTTTTTAGTGGTTGACTGTATTCAAAACTTACAAAGACATGTTTTAATAAACTGATGACCCAGAGATGTCTCGCTTGTATGAAGTTTTAATAGTATAATGCAAATTGAAACTACAGTTAAACTTAGTCAAAGTCACTTAACACTGTTTCGACTGACCATTATTTATTTTCAGTCCTAATAATTGTTTCATTATTACTAATTGAAATTTAAAATAATTTACCAGTTGCAAGAAAATTGTCAAAAGGAATCTATGTTTTTGGCTGCCCCATCTTTTTTGTAGCTGAACATTATTGGATTATATTATATTAGAGTTTATTCAAGTTTATCAGAATTTAATAATTCCCCTCAAACTGTATATAAAGCTTGTGAGTGAAAGACAGAATTTACAAATTCTCAATGACTGCAAAATAGGTTTTTAATCCTTTAAATTCCATTTCAATATAAAGCTGTGAAAAATGGCCTGGGCAATTTCGATTCCAGTACTACATCTCACTGAAATTTACCCTTCATCTTATTCATAATTAATGCAAATATCCATTTTTACTGATCAGCATTCAATTATAATTATGTCTTTATCTATTTTCTGTACTTGCTATTTTTTTTTTATCAATTCTAAAGTCAGGTCTGGTTTAAATCTAATTGTAATAAACTGCTTCGCTGAGCGCAGCTGGATATGCCCGCAGAGGTCCAACCCTGAACAGTTGGGGCAAAAATGGACACAATATTCAAGCTTGATACAGGTCTGAATTTGGATTGTAATTAAATGTTTGACATATTATAGGTTTCTGAATAAATGTAGTCAAAGAACTTGAAATTGGTTATATGAATTGAATTTATATTCAATTTAAGATTTCTTGCTGTTGTGCAATACACTGTGCTGTTGCACAATACTTAGTTAATCTGTTGTCAGACTATAAACAAATAAAGTTCAATTAATTCTCAATGTCATATTAGAAATTTATGAAAATGTAAAGGGAGCTTACATCAATAGATATAAACAATTCACCAAAGTTTCATGAGAATTGCTGACAGCATTTTTGAGTTATTGTCCGAAAACTGGAAAATCCCCCCTTTTTTAATGAATAAAACCCCATAACTCAGAAATGATACATGAAAAATTTATGAAATTCTAAACGGAGCTTACATCAATAGATATAAACAATTCACCAAAGTTTCATAAGAACTGCTGAAGTTATTGTCTGAAAACTGGAAAATCCCCCCTTTTTTAATGAATAAAACCCCATAACTCAGAAATGATATATGAAAAATTTATAAAATTCTAAACTGAGCTTACATCAATAGATATAAACAATTCACTAAAGTTTCATAAGAACTGCTGAAAGCGTTTTTGATTTTTTTGTCCAAAAACTGGAAAATTCCCCTTTTTTTATGAATAAAACCCTGTAACTCGGAAATGTAAAATCTAAAATATATAAAAATCGAAAGGGAGCTCATGTCAATAGAAATAAACAATTCACCACAATTTCTTGCAAGTTGGTGAAAGCATTCTTTAGATATTGTCCGAAAACTGAAAAATCCCCCTTTTTTTAATGAATAAAACCCCATAACTCGGAAACGTAAAATCAAAAATTTATAAAAAACGAAAGTGAGCTCACGTCAATAGATATAAACAATTCACCAAAGTTTTATGCAAATTGGTTAAAGCGTTTTTGAGTTAATGACCGACATGTTGACGACGGACGGACAGACGGACAGACGGACGGACAGAGGTATACCATAATACGTCCCGTAAACGGGCGTATAAAAACTAATGCAAAATATATTTTGTCTAAAATATCATTCACTGGCACAAAGATTACAGTGCAGATAGTTTTTACTCCTTTTGAAATATTGAATTTACAAGCTTGCACATTTTGTCATCCAGGGACTTTATAGCTTAATATACAGTAATAGTTTTATTCATTATTGAAGGTCATACAGACACCTATAACTGTTAACATCCTTGTTCTTTAGTCTTTGGTGGATAGTTGTTTCATTGGTTACCATACTTTTCTTTTTAAAGGAATATATCATACAGAAACAAATGTATTAATGTATTGCCCTCTTTTCAATTTTCATTCTGGTTTTTGGTAATAAGAAAATCAGAATTTCATTATTTTGAGACCATGTTAATTTAAGTGAGATAATGAGATGACTACATTTACCCATCAATTTTAAACCACAAAAAGAAAATACAATCAAAATGTTATAAAAATGCAGATTAATCATTATATTAATGCAAATCATTCTTCGTTATTCAAAATCTTGAAAATGGAGACAATAAAAATGTATGCAAACATAATCTTATTTTTACAACATTGTTTCAGATTCTAATTTTCTGATTGGTTACCTAAATGATTTCGATTTGTATTGCAAACTGCATCAACTTGCAATTCAGAAAAGCATGTTGTTATAATTTCAAATGCTGTAACAGACCCATTGTAATAGAAGCAATTATTTTCCAATCTTATCTTTGTTTTTTATATTAAAGAAATAAATCACTATCATGGTAAATCAGTGTAATTTCATTAGCTGTTGAAGTTGTTGAGTTCACAAAATATTCTATAATATTGAGCTCTGAATGATCAAAAACAGATCCAGAAAGTTTTTATTTGTTTGTGATTCCCCATTGTTTATGCTACTTTTTTTCCTTCTTCATTCATATGGTCTATAATTCATTTTTTACTGCAATGTATTCCCAATAAGTTTTCAATTTAATCATGCTACAGTTGTGAACTTAATTTGACAAAGGTTTTTCTAGCAAAATGAAAAACCAGCATTCTATAGCTATTTTATTTTTAAAAATCTTTCATTTATATCAAATGTCAGGGAAAAGGTTCAACACAATTTAACATGCACTTTTTATAGCTTCATTCTAAAAAACTTTTTGGACTAAAGGTAAAATTTTAAATATCTTTACAGGTAGTCATTTATTAGAGATGCAAAGGTTTTGGACACTGAGACCTCCTGGTTATGTGTATTGTACCTACTTTTTCTATGATCCAGGATTCTATACCAGTTTCATTCTTCAATATACTTCTCATCTGTATGACATACAGCATTCCTACAGCTAGAAATACACCTACTGCTAAACCTATGGCAAACATGGTACCAATAAAACCAAATAGTCCAAGATATACAACAGGTTCTCTTGTATAGTAGAAATAATATTGCTGAAAATATAACACAAAGTAATAAAAGTAACATAACATTTTTCATTTAAATAACAAGAAAAATTAGGATTAAAAAAAATGTTTTGCAGCCAATCAAATATATATGATAAACTGCCTTATTACTGCGTGTGTGTAGGAGAGGATATCCCCATTTTAAGTTCTTCTAAAGCTTACTTGGTCATAAATCATTACACTGAACAATGTTATTATTTCAAATTCAGCAGAGCATGGCAAATAAACAGATTAGATTTTAATATAATCAAATTATAAATAATAAATTGTCTATTGCAAGTGCTTAAAAATATGGTTAATAAAAAAAAAGTTGACAACTATAATGTTTTGACTGTTGAAATACTGGATTTGTTTTTTTTTAATCACAATGAACTCTTAAACTGAGGTTAACTCACAGGTGACATAAATCTGCCAGGTGCATTTGTTCAAGAAAATGTAATGAATTCACATTCTTAATATTTTCAACGTATTATGTATTTGGTCATAAGTTTCAAAATCATACTGCAAGTGTATGCTAGTGATAGGAACTTCTGTATCATCTCATGTCAGAGGATCACTATTTCTAGTCCATTCAATTTTTTGCAAAATAACAAAATATGTATTATCAACAGTTCATGTTAATATAAAATTTCTTTTCTTCCTAAATATAAAAATAAGATGTATGATTGCCAATGAGTCAACTTTCTATCAAATGATGTAGATGTTTCTTTATACACTTACCCAATTAATTGCCCTATATGTAGATGGAATTAAAATAAATAGAGCATGAACACAGCCAATTGGTGCAAAAATCAAGAACCATGTAAAATTAGCATGGTTGAAATGTCCACAGCAAGTGTTTATCCATGGACAGTGATGGTCCATCTTAATTACACACCTGAAAAACATAGAGTAATACTCATGATATATAGTATATTTATTAAACTCAAGTTGACATACAAAGTACCATCATCAAAATCATACTAAAATTGCTGTCTCTATTATAGAAAAAAATTTTGTGTTAAAAACAGTATTTGCAATATATTAACTGATTTGCTTTAACATTCCATGATATTTTTAAGCTTAACATTCAAGTAGCTGTGGAACTATGGTTCGCAAATTGTCAAAAAATATCATAAGGACCATAAGAGCTACGGTTCCACAGCTAACATTCAAGCAGTTCCTTGACTTCTTTTTATCATAGTGTAAATGTAGAACGTTTCAATAAAAATGGAAATGTTTCATAAATAGTTTAAAAGACCAATATTTGTTCATTTCTATATTACTCTTTTTTTGGTTTGTATTATTCTTTTATGACATAATTTGTTTAAAAAGTTTTTTGACTTTCAAAACCCAATACATGTACTGTAATTTGACCTACATGACCTTTATCTGTGTTTGTTTTTACCTGTCACATTTCCTGCAGTGATGTGATCTGGGACTTTTGTATCCTTCACACAGATTGCAATATTGTAAATATTGTTTAACTTCTTCTTCTTCCTGCAAATAAAATGTTTTTTTTGTTTATATAAAAAATAAAATAAAAAAGTTGCTGATTATTAGGCTTTGAAAAATATACATAAATTTAATTGGTCATACTGGTTAGACAATTGTAATCTTTTGTTATTCATGTATATTACATTATCAGACAGACTAACTAATGTATGATAACTGTTGGATAACTATATAACAATTGTCACTCCTATTACTGACTTCAAGGTTTATCTAACAAACAAGTGAGAAATAAAATTTATTACACTTTTTTCACACAGGCAGTAATAAATTTCACTACTACATAATTGATGTATGTATATAAACAGTATTACTCAATGCTTTATGACATGGTTTTTGAATAACCTATGATACCTTCTTAAAAATTTAGTTTTGAATAGAAGAAAACAACAAATAAAATACACCATCAATTACATATTCTCTGTATCAATTTTGTCTCGTTTTAATAGTGAACAAAAAAAAACATGACTTGTCTCCCTTTGACTGTGTTATATTACAGTATGTCTATGTTGCTATATAAAAGTGGAAATACACTGCTTTCTTGAGATGCATTTCAAAAATTGACTTAAAGTGGTACCAAACACCTTGACTAGAATTAATTTGGCTCGTTTAATTTCCATAAAATTTTGACAAAATATTTACTTTGACAAAAATGTATAAAATTCAAAAAACTTGAACAACACACTTTATCTGAAAAATTTCATTGGATAGATAGCAGTTTCACAAACACTTGTTTTGATCATTGAGAAGCTTAATATTTCCTTAACAATAGAACGTGATTAAAACGTCTAGCTGATTTTTACAGAGTTATCTCCCTGTAGTGTTATGTACCTCCTTAAGATGAAGGTTATGTAATTGGGTGGTATTTCAGAGTTTTATGAAATATCACAAACATTCAGATATCATTGAACTGCATCTGAATATAATAAAAAAATAGATGTGTACTTTGTGTAGTCATATCAATTACAAATATTAGTTACTGAAAATTGGTTAATTGTTATTTAAGTTGATATACTACACATTCATATATCAAAAATGTTTACTTAATATAAAGCAGTATTCTGGAATCTAATAAAATAGGATGATACATAGAAATGATGTGACTAATATAATAACTAGAGGCTCTAAAGAGCCTGTGTCGCTCACCTTGGTCTATGTGCATATTCAACAAAGGACACTCTCCAACATTGTAGGCAAGAATGATAAAAATCTCTTCTTTGTTGATCTTGTATTGCTGATCATTTAGTCTGTTTAGTTTCTCTCTATATTCTTTAGTTTTTGCTCAAAACAAAAAAGGGTGTAAAAAAAATCCTCATTTAAGGGCAATCACTCCTATAAAGAGTGACAGTCTACTAACTATATCGGCAAAATTTAACTTGTTAGTAGATCTTGCCTTGCTGATTATTTTTGTGATTTAAAGTGTCTATTTATCTATTATAATTTTTATCATACAAGGCAAAACGCAAAACAAATGGTAAAAATCACCATTAAAGGGCAATAACTACAATAAGGAATTGTCGGACGATTTCCTCCATATTGTCTTAATTGTAGATCTTGTCTTTCTGATCATATTTGCTAATTTAAGTTTCTAACTATCTATTATAATTTTTAAGATATAAGGCAAAAACACAAAAAAATGGTAAAAATCGTCATCAAAGGGCAATAACTCTAATATTGAGTTGACTGACGATTTCGACAATGCAGAATTAAAGTTTTCTGACAGTTTTGATGTATATGGACAATTGGTAGAGCTCATTGCCTCAACATTCTGAAATTTTTGCTCTCTTCAGATTTTCTCTGTTTATAACGGTTTTCAAAATAATAGACAAAACTTGTATTTTAACCCTATGTTCTATTTTTTGCCATCTCTGCCATCTTGGTTGGCAGGCGAAGTCATCGGGCACATATTTAAACTAGATACCCCAATGATGATTGTGGCCAAGTTTGGTTAAATCTGGGCCAGTAGTTTCAGAGGAGAAGATGTTTGTAAAAGTTAGTGACAACAACGACGGAGGAAGACAACACACAAAGTAATGGCAAAGTCTATGATTTGCTTAGGAAAACCCCAAATAATAATTTCAGATAAAAAAACAACATATGTCGCGCGACATATAAACAACGAGGAGCAAGTGCGGAGATTTAATTTTAATTAGATTGCATTAAATTCTGATCAAAAGTTTAGAAGTGGATATTTATGTGTACTGTAGCGTACTGATAGAAAAAAAGGCCATATCATGCCAAAACATAAAGGTCCTTTGGTCAATTTGCCCCAAATAGTGACTCATTTCGCTCTTATTTTCTTAAATCATAAATCTGATTTTTCATTTAATGTAAAATGATGATGATGATAATGGATGGCTGTTTAATGTCCACCAGCAAATTAAATGCATATTCAGGATGAGAAAATGTTAATGCAAGATGAATATTTTCCCTGCTTTGTACTAGACCGACACTCTAGAGCCGGATTTTTAACGTGCTAGTTCACAAGGTAAAAACCACAGGAACATGTCACCCTACCCATGCTACCGTGACACATTATTTGGACTAAGAGCTTACCAGTCTTTGCTCTTACTCATTATAATGCTGAGTGCTTAGCGTAGAAGCAGCAAATACCAATCTTTAAGTCTGGTTTTACCAGGCTGGGGTTTGAACCAAAGACTGCACACACTTGAGGTGAATATGCTACCACATGACCACTGAAGTAGTTTAATATTAATGTATAATTACCCAAATCAAAGTTTTTTTTTAAAGAAGATTATGTCATGTGTTGTAAATATTTAATCTGGTTTCATGTAGAAATATATTCTAAAATTTAATAATATTGTAATCAAAGTTCAGTCTTTCTAAACTTATTTAGGTCATTGTTTACACTTAAATATGATGGTATTGAATAAAGATATATATAAGACAATTTTAGAAATATATAAATAATAATAATTTGAATATATCATGTATATTGATTAGTAATTTTTAATGGCCAATTTTGATACTTGTATGTTTTTAAGTGAAAGATTTGAAATTCTAAAAAATTTTAACAGTTTTAAAGTGTCACAAAAGTTGTTTTTATGGCTGGATATTAATTGTTGGAAGTTTATATATTTATAAAATGTTGATTATTTTTATGTCAATTAATATGTGACATGTAAATAAACTATTTACTTACTTATATAGATTAGAAATTAAAGATAAGCCCTTAATAAATGTTAAGACTATACAATTATCCATACTGATTACTGAAAATTTATATTCTAAATTGGAAATTGATTCAATTGACTTTAATTGGAATTAATCAAAGAGGTGTCAACAATGATAATGATAATTAACTATTTGACAGCTTTTGTTAATCACTTATCTTTTATATTTGATGCCAGAATAAAAGAGATGCAAATCAAATTAATAAACCATTTGTTTATGCAGGAATTTGTTCACTTTCTGGAGACCAGGCAGCTTCTTTGAATTGAACGACCAGAAGTGACAAAAAATGGGCATGATTTTGTTTAAAAAATAACATTGGTGACATCAATATAACTTATAAAATGTGTTTATACATATATCATTGTTATAACTTACGATTAATAGATTAAATATCAAAACCAGATTTATTTTTTGTGTTTGTTTCCATTGTTTTTCTATGTCTCTATTTACATTTAGGTTATTTAACATCTAGCAATTTCAGTATTTATTTTATACTTTTAAACAGATTTTTATATATGTCCAGTCATAACACACAGCCCATGCCACATAAACACATATATATATACCAGTCAAAGTAAACCCCAAAAATCATTCAGACGAAGAAATGAAATAGGAAGTGCAATACTAAATCATGTGAGTAAGATAGTGTGAAAGTTTCACAGAAAATATTCATTTTGTTCAGGAGCAGCATACAAAAATGTACTTCAAAGCTGCTGCTATAGGTTTCTCAACATGCCTAGAGTATGATAATTTCAATTAAACTTACTGGTTCCCATCCTAAAGGGACAAATCCTGGTCCTTTGAATGCTGCTAAAAGATAGTTATACAGCGTCAAAACATTCCAAAGTAGAAATATCATCAAATTTATCACTCCTCCTAATGTAAAAATTGGCCACCACATCAAAGTGTTTCTGACAGAGGCTGCTGATATCATGAAAATAACTGATAAAGCTATTATTGGACCCCAATGCAAAAGTTGCAATAAGTTAATTTCTATTCTTTTCGTCGCCATAGCTTATATATTGTTTTTAAACTATAACTTTTAATATGTTTGACTGAAAATTAACTATTTCTGTTATATTACTGGTCTAAATGGCATTTTTTCATGTTTTTGTGTTTTGACTTGTTTTGGTTGCAAACCGGAACCAGTGCGAGCTTTCGCATTTCTCGTGTTAATTTTTCCACTCTAAAACACAGCTACTAAATCTGATCACAAATTAAAAGAAAGCAATTAAATAATCCTTAAAATAGAAACAAACTATTTCAAAATATATATCACAATATTTTGAGGATAATAAGATAAATTCAAATTGATGATATTTGTAATGATGACCAAGTAAATATGAAAAGATGATTCCATTTTATAGCATTTTTGAAAGACCTTTCGTTACTTCTCTGACTTGTTTACCTTTATCAAAGGGAATCCAAATCGAGGCGTTGCGATCAACAACATGGCGAGCCTGGACCAAAATTCCAATGCCACTCTGCAAGGAATTGCAAGGCATATCAATTGTCTGACAGAAGATAACAGAAATACCAGGAAGAAAGCTTTAGAAGGGATTAGGAAGGACACTTTGGATAGAAAACCATCGTTGCAAGAGTCGGAATTGACTCATATATTAAGCGAAATCATTAAACCATTGTTGAAAGCTTTTTCAGATCCAGTTGAAAAATGCAGAAGCCTAGCAATAAGTACAGTAAAAGATTACTGCAAAGTTATTGAAAAACCAGTGAGAAATTTACCATACATTATGCCAGTTCTTGTACAAAGATTAGGCCAGCAAGACATCACAGAACCTTCAGAAGAATTGAGATTGTTGTTAGTGGAATTCTGCTCGGAAATTGTAGAATTTTCTAGAAAAGATGTTCATGTGTACTTAGATGACTTTATAAAGATCTTACAAAGAACTTTAATAGATGCATACCCTGAAGTAAAGAAGGAAAGCTGTCGATGTTCATCTGCCATAGCAAAATCAGTACCAGAATATTTTCATATGCAGTCTGAATCTTTAATCAAACCACTGTTGATGTCCATAACTCATCAACATTCAAAAGTTAGAACACTTGTCATTCAAACAATCGGTATGTATTTGTTCTTAAAGGAGAAAGTGCACAGTGAATATATGTATGACAGTATGTACCTACCAACCTACTTAGGATCTTCAGAACGCTGTTACAAATAAATCAAATCAAATCATTTTATTGGTGTAAAATCCAAATACTGGATAATACATGTACTGTTTTGCCAGTATACACTCTACTGCATTGTTAGCATTGTTAGTGTAATTGATTGTAACTTTCTGACTTTGGTTAAAATTTTATATTCTGTTTCAAAGTCAAAAAGAGTTTTTGCTGAGATACATTTTGTAACCTCTTCAGGTACAAAAAAAAATATATAGGTGTATACTTAAAGCTTCTACCTCTTTGGTCTATGGTGGAGAATTGTCTCATTGGCAATCATACCACATCTTATAATTATAGGCTGTCCCATGGCCAGATGTCATAACTCTGTTGGTGAAACATACTTCTTGAGATCTAGACATTTTGTTGTTTCTTTAGCTTCAGTGAATGACCTCTAGTTGTCTTGTTTGTGCTGTTCATCTCAAATAATAATAAATCAATGGCCACTAGCTTGTAGACTTCTATCATAATCAACTTTCAATTTTGAATATCTGAGGGTGGGAAGCTTGAGTATTCACCAATGATTTTTGTACATGACATTTCCCTCAATGTACAAAAATGTTACTCTTGCACATTTTCGTTGCTTGTACAAGTAAATGTACTTTCAGCCTTCCTGTAGGGTGACCAAACATTGTTCTCATTTATCCAAATGCAGTCTTACAATGCCCTTTGAATAAGTAAAGAGAAGCCCATTTGGACTAGGTGTAATTCAGAGTGCATAAAATTGAGAATGGAAATGGGGAATGTGTCAAAGAGACAACAACCCAACCATAGAGCAGACAACAGCCGAAGGCCACCAATGGGTCTTCAATGCAGCGAGAAACTCCCTCACCCGGAGGCGTCCTTCAGCTGGCCCCTAAACAAATATGTATACTAGTTCAGTATGAACATGTATACACCATGTGTACACAGTTGTTTATTGTATTCTCGTCTATTTTACAGGTGATGTTATTCAGTATGGTAATGGTAAAGCAGTGGACACAATTGTGTCTCATTTTGCCCAAAGATTATTTGATGATTCCCCTGCTGTTAGAAAAGCTGTTGTTATGGTAACAGGTCATTGGTTATTAGATTTGCCAGATAGGTACTCATTTCATCATAAGTTAATGCCACTGTTGTTGACCGGTATATCAGATAGTCAGCCTGAGATTCAGGAAGTGGCAGACTCATTGTGGTATGATGTAGGTGAGTACCAGTAAACAGCTTTCAATAAATGTTCATGATAAAGGCAAAGAACGATTCAATTAATTTTTTTATGTAAATATACCTTCATTGAATGGGCAGTAATTATAATTTTTTAAACAGTTGAATGTTAACATGTTTCTCTAATAAATTAAGAATGTTTATATTTTGTTATAGATATTCCTTTGAATACATAAAAATTTGTAACTGTCATGATAATTCTAACAAATAATAATTTATATTCTGTACCCATGCTTTAATGTCTTTCAGGTTTAAAATATGAAAAAGAAAATGAAAGTGACTTCAAAGACAAACTTGATTTTGAAAAAGAAGCTCCAAGTCATTATCCTCCAAATGGTTAGTATAACATATTATATATAATTAAGGTTTACAAATGTATAGCCCTTTTTCCAAGGCTAGGTATTACAAAATTTCAAAGTGCAATGATATACTCCTGGTTGAGCATTATTGGTACAAGAGTAGAGATGGGTCTATATACTATGGCCTTAAATAACCTTCAACAACATATCGTCAATAAAACCTCTTTCTGTTTTTTTAAGCTATTTATTTTTTGTTAAACATCACAAAGGAGCATATTATTCCCCTCCTCTTGTAATTGATTACACCAAAAAATGAGCATATGATGTCCTGCAAATTTGTACAAAAAAATCCACTTTTTAAAAGCCAATAAATAACCTTCTGAAGCTCACCAGGTGGCAACTGCCTCATATTATCAACATAGCAAATACATTAATGATTTTGTACATATACTGTAAGAAAACATGATTAGCAGCAATGATATTTATTATTTTATGGATTAAATAGAAAATGGGATTTTGTGTCAAGTCCAGACAAAAAAGGCACAGACTATTTGAGGGATCTTTGTTATAATATTTTGAATGTAGATTTCTCACTTGTTTATTATGCTACTGTTTATTGTTCACCTAACGTGCTAAACTCCTTTAATAACCAAAAAGTCTTGTGCTCAGTGAATTAAGTTGATCACACATCAAAAGGTGAACTTAAATAGGGTTGATAATTGTGCTCGTCTTAGTTGTCTATATAAAAAAGAATAATGAGAAATCATTGGTAGCATTGCATTCAGTAATTATCTATTGATTCAGTTACAAATTTCAAAATTTGAGAGTCAATGAGAAAGGCTGTTAATTTTCTTATCTAGTTCCATACAGTGTTCTCATTCTTTCACAAAAACCATGAGACCAGGGACTTCTATCTCAAAAAATATGAATAGACCATATGTTTATAGTATTGAAAAAACAAAGGGGTACATAGCCCTAAAATGAATCTACAGATGAGATTATGCACCATGTGTTTGTTATTTAACACTAGAACACTAGTTGAATTTTTAATATGTTGTATGATTCTTGAATAGAAGCTTCAGATATCAGACATGCTTGTGTTGAAATTAATCATTTTTTGCAAAAATTTCGTTTGTACAATTCAAACAAAAGAAAGCTTACATGTAATCCTTGTCAGATATCTGATAGATCATGAACTTATTAAAGATATTTTGTACATGTATTGCATTTTATTAATGAGTTCAACATCATAAATTAAAATATTGGTGTAGAACAGGTTTTCATGGAACGATTTTGTTTTGTGAATCATATTCATATATAGTGTTCATGTGTTCCAGTTGAGAGACCCAACCTTGGATGTCGGGTATTAGTTAATAGAAATCTGTCAAAGATAGTTAATGGCTTAATGAGGGATATTGTGGACTGGGTGGCACCCACCCGATTGAAATCTGCATCACTGCTTTATGTACTACTACTAAATGCTGAGGATTACATTACACAACACATGACACCATTGATATCTGGCATGAATAAAGCATGTGCTGACCAGGAAGTACAAGTTGTCAAAGATGTAAGTTTTATGGCTATAGCTAATAGTTCTACATTTAATATAAAAATAAGAAGATGTGGTATGATAGCCAATGAGACAAAGTCTATTCACCAGATACCATATGACATAGATGTAAGCAAATTTAGGCCACTGCACAAACTTCAAATTGCATAGTAAGCTATGATAGGCCCCATGACAAAATGTGTAATAACTCAAAAAAGAAAACCAATGGCCTGATTTATGTGCAGAACAATAAGCTTTTTCTTTTTTTTTTCTATAACCAGCACTTAAATATATATTTTACTTCTTATAATAGATTTTTTTTTTTTTGTAAAGTATCAATAATCTGACAATACTGAAGAAGTACTGAGATTTATAAAAACTAGTTGTTTAATATTAAATCATAATTTATAACTTAAAAATGCATAAAATCAATATTTGTATAAAGTAACATCAAGCATCAACTAAAATTGATACATAACCTCAACAGGAAACCTTACACATTACACAAAATTGGTAAAATAATATAACATTTAACATGTTTAAAGACTTAATTTAAACTGATAAATTTCTATTTGCAGGTACAGAGAAGTGCAGAGCTTGTAGGTTACTTTGTGGAGCCAGAAGTCTGGTGGAAACTTGTACAAGGGAACATCAAATCTACACAGTCATATACCTCACTTATGATTCTAGCACACATCATGAAAGGAACAGAAAGAAGTAAACTGAAGCCATATCTATCAGACATATGTTGTACTGTGGCAAATCCTGACATATGCTTAACTATTCAGGTATTGAAATAATATTTCTTTTCCAAATTTTTTGGTCGAGGTAGTTTTTGATGAAGTTGAAGTCTAATCAACTTGAAACTTAGTACACATGTTGCCTATGATATGATCTTTCTAATTTTAATGCCAAATTAGAGTTTTGACCCCAATTTCACAATGCATTGAACATAGAAA